TTTTTTGCCAATTTGGATTTGAATTTTCGTAAATTTTTGGAGATGGCCCATAACCAAAAATATATAGAATTATATTTAGAAGGCAACTTCTGAATGCGTCAATGCATTAAAATTGTTAATTTATGTGATTCTAGTGTTAAATTAGATCAAATAGTGGCTAAACTATTAATAAATTTTATGGTGAACATAATCTATATTATTTCGCAGTCTACCAGGGCAACATTATTATTGTCAGGAAAGGTGCACTCAAAGACTCCATTCATTAGGCATAAAGACTTATCTGACTTTCGTTTATATACTTCTACTAATCTATTCAGGCAAGCGTCATGGTTTGAGCAACAGTGATTTCAATAATAAACGGTAAAAGGTTTATTATAAAGATGTATAAAGATATTTAAATATGATAGATGTTCATATACCAATATTTATCTGGACGTTAAATTGAATAGCTTGGATTATAAATAAAGCATTTCAATCATAATCACAATCAATGCAAAGGATATCTTCAGGCATGCCATCAGAGCTCGTGGCAAAATTATCCTATAAAAAATATCATAGACATACAGTTTCTTGTGAGAGCAGAATCTAATACGCATTTACACATCATCAGCCAGAAAGGCAATTCTATGAGCACATTGCAAACAATAAGTTTCTAAAGCTAAATGATAATAATGATCCCAGATAGCTTTCCTTAATGAATGTATACAATCAATAGAAACAGTCTGTCGGTTTTCATTCCTCCTTTTTTTTTTTTTTATTCCCATTCGTCAACTTGTTCATTTATTTTATTTACATTAATTGTCTAATTATCTAGGGCTTAGCCGCGGAATCCACCAAATGTGTTGGAATTGGCATTGGCGTTGGCGTTCGAGTTGGAGCCACCAAAGCCACCAGAGTTACTGCTGGCTGCGGCGTTGGCACTGGCTGAGCTGCCACCACCGAATCCAGCACTAGGGCCTCCAAATCCAGGACGACCACCGAATCCAGCACTAGGGCCTCCGAATCCACTACCGAATCCGGGACCACCACCGAATCCGGGACCACCAGCGAATCCGCCGGGGCGGCCACCGAATCCAGCACTAGGGCCTCCGAATCCACCACCGAATCCGGGACCACCACCGAATCCGGGACCACCAGCGAATCCGCCGGGACGACCACCGAATCCGCCGGGACCACCGAATCCGCCACCGAATCCGGGACCACCACCGCGATTACCGCCGAATGATTGCGAATTGGCATTTGCGCTGGCGCTGGAACTTGAGCCACCTTTACTAAATTGAGGGAGGGCCGAAGCAACGGCAACGAGCACGGACAGAGCGATGAACAGTTTCATGATGAGGCTTCGAGCTGAATTCACAAACTTAGCTCAGCAACTGTCGGACGGCAGCTTTTATACATTTCAGTCCAGGGGATATCCCGTGGCCTCAGTTCCAATCAGCCGGCCACAGATAGTGATAGACATAAAGACAAGAGAAAGAGAGAGAGAGACAAAGAGAGAGAGAGAGAGACAAAGAGAGAGAGAGAGAGAGAGAGAGAGGTTTTATACACAAATACATAAACAATTTTGATACTTTATTGGTTTTGCGTAACGTCACATTCACAGATTAACAGATTCGGTTTCAGTTTCAGTGTTAACAACAACAACAACAACAAAATCCAAAACGAAATATAGAACAAAAACAACAATCAGCATCATCAAAACGAATTATAATAGTATTGTCAATTTACTCTACTCCCAGCCGCCGAGGCACATCAACCGGTTGGCTATCTGCCTGTTTAATTAGTCCCTCGGCCAGCTCTTTCCCAATATTAATAATACCCAAACTTGGGCGTGCCCCTCGCACCACGCTGCTCTAGGCTTTTGTTAGCTTGAGTTTAAATAACAAAAATAGCCAAAACAAACAATAATCTCAGATCTGTTAATATAATCTGATATCTAGTTTTTAATTATCGAAGAATAGAAAATATTCTTGATCACCTTACAGAACAGCTTAAGACTTAAGCTAGTCTGGTTCAATACTAAATCTAAACTTATATTGTACATATATTATTAATAAACACTGTGTAGACTTGGAATTAGAATTGCATTGCAATATTTCTTCATAAAACACATAGATTAACTAACTATTATATCCTTATTAACTAGCTCTTATGAACCAGTTCGCTGAACCACTTTACGCAACACTATCGAGCATAAATATTATTTTTCTTGCCAAACTAAAACAGGAATCTATTTATTTTGTTGATTTTTTGCTTCATTTGAATTCCTTTTTGTTTCTATTGTGTTTCTTTTCGTTAATTATATTTTAAATTATTTTAATTTATTATGGCCACATAATGAACTAAGTTATAAATATTTTTTTTTTTATTTTCTTTTTTTTTTTCTCTTCTATAATATCTAACCAATATCTTTTTCCTATTAATATTCTGTTTATCAGCTACTTTCGAAATTTGATCAGTCTAAAAATAAATGTTAGCTTTCATTGATTTTCTATATACATATATATGATATGTGTCTGTGTAGATATATTAGTATTATATAATATAAGTAGACAGCTTATAGATGAAATTGTCGTGGCCATACTTTTGGGAGTATGAACTTAATATTATGGTAAAATATTAGTATTCGACTCCAAAAAATATGCAATAATTAATATTGTGAAATCGTACGGAATATTCCAAAATAAATATTATGTAAAAAAATTTAATCATCTTTAGTTATGATTACTGATTAAACTGAATATACATAATACTTTGAATCAAATTAGGCTGCATTTCAATATGATCTATATGTCAGTATTATTTTCTGTGGCAATCTTTATTTAAGCACTGTCATTCAGCTGTGATATATGATAGTTGATATACCTAACATGAAATTTCACTTGCTAATGAGGTTGAAAAAGTACCATTCTCAAAACTACTATTGTTCTACTTTTACTGAAACTCGTACTTATTCTAAAATTCGTACCACTACTTTTACTACTACTCGTACTCCTAATACTATTACTACTACTACTACTACTCGTACTTTTACTACTATTCATACCGCTAAAACTGATACTTTCAGTAATATGCCTATCAACACTACTACTACTCTACAGCTTTTACACCTGCTACACCTTATTCTTAGGAGTGAACTACTACTACTACTATTGTTACCAATTTCACTTCCACTACAATAATTCCACTACTGTACTATTACTACTACTCCTACTACTTTACTATTAGTACTCATTCTCCTCCCACTTCTTTTAGTCGTACTACAGTTTCTCTTGCAATTTGTACTTTATCTACTCCAACGTTATCTTACCTGCTAATACCCGTACTATGTGACTAGAATGGGAAATAACTATTTAATTATCTAATTAACAAATATGTCTGAAATAGCATATTATATGCAATTATAATTTTATAAAGAATGGCAAACATATTTATAAATTTCCTGACAGCTTTGTTTATATATTTATGTACATATACCTGCATAGATAGTAGTAATACTTTGCTTTAGCTTTAATAAAAATCTTTAAAATCCCACTCATTATTTACATCCGCAGTACCTCATCGCATTGTCGTCTAGCTCGACCCCTTTTCAGGTTTGATGAGCACTAGCTGAAACGTTGCTAGAAACTTGTATGTGCGAATATTTTAATTGTTCTGCTCACATATATGCCGAAATTAACGGGCTTTTTATGCAGCTCTTATAGGCTACGATTCGTAATTGATAAATAAAAATAATAAAAAATTAAAAAAAGAACAATAGAAATAAACCAGAAATCTAAACAATCAGCGAAATAGTTTTACTTCCCAATGACGACAGACGAATTATAATTTTGAGACAAGTTTCAGGTATTACCATAAAACGGAGATATAGAAGCTCTATAGATATCCGCACTCTGGATTTTAAGATGAGCTAATAATCTTGTTTATATATATGTCTAACTCTTTCATATGGAAACTTGATTCCCCTCAACCTAGACCCCAGCACATAGCCTTAGTATTAATTGTTTATATTTTCAGATTGAATTGAGTATTTAGCACAAACAACTATTTATTGATTATATACAAAACTTAAGCATATTTAACTAATACATTTATTTGTATGAGTATTAAGCTCCGATTGCTCGAATTCAGCCGCGGAATCGTCCACCGAATGCTGCCGAAGCCGATGCTGATGCAGAAGCCGAGGCAGCACCGCCGAATCCTGCCGATGCACTGGATGAGGCCGAAGCTGCGGCTGAGCTGCCACCACGGAAACCACGTCCACCACCACCCTTGCGATAGCCGCCACCGTATCCACCGAAGCCACCGAATCCACGACGACGGAACCCTCCACCGAAATGAGGCAGTGCAGCCGCAGCAGCAACCAACAGCACGAGCACAAACAGAATTCTCATAATGGAACTGATCTGAACTTTTAGCCGGTAGCAAGTAAACTGATTGACCCATGTCGAGCCCTTCAGCTTATTTATACTGGCAATGCTTAGCGTTGATCATTAAATCGAGCTAGTCGATTGGCCATCATTAACGAGAAGCCAAGTTCTCGGCTCTCAGTTCTCAGCATTCTATGCCTGCGCCTGCATCAGCATCATTATAATTGTAGACTTCAGCGACCAGGAATGCTCAGCACAGTGAATGCAACTCGAGTTGGCAATGCCCTAGCTCGAAAGTAGAACCGGACTTTCAGGCAATGTACGACTGAAGACTGGAATGCCGAAAATAATTAATAAGGAAGCAAACAAAAAACATGTAACAAAAAATAATAATAATAATATAAAGTATATAGTATAGTCAGCAAATTTAAAATATCACTATATAGTCGAATACGATTCGATAGTAAAATTTATTTAATTTCTACTCCACAACATTTTTTTCTAAAATAAATCCCAAATTATATAGTGAAAATCTTATAGGAAAAAGTAATATTATTAATACTAATATTTTTTGGGAATATAATACATTCTTTTTATCTTTTTATTGTTATTATTTCTACTTAATTTTTTTAATTTTGCTCCATACCCAGTTGGAATGCTTAAGCTCACTACAGAGTATTCGCGATATCAATTTGTGCAGTGACTTGTGAAGGTAAGTCCCCGAGCCACTTCTCACTCAGAGTGAGTATTGTGAGTGAGTACAATTTTTGCTTTATAATGGTAATTTACATACCAAATATTTATATTTACTAGATTTTTGTAATGTCCAGTTCATCGACGCAACAATTTTATCCAGGAATGCTGATGAAATTGCCTGAGGGGGTTGAAGATGAGAATTTATAAAAAGGTGGACACCATAAGCTTGATCCATCACAAATAATATTATAGCCCAGAAGAGCCTTTGACGGCAAAGTTCATTATTCAGATATTGAATTAAATATTTTTGGAATGAAATGATAACAAAAGTTCCACTATATATAGATATATAAGATATATATAAGAAAGTTTTTCTAATAACACAGTTATAGCACTATAGCCCAAATTTCACTCTTCTAAAGAATCAGTGTAGCATCCATAGTACAAAAGAAAATTAWTTTTAAAAACGATTTTATTTAACATATTTTATTATCAACTAAGTGAATATTTTGTGTCGGTGCACGCGGCACAGGCGAAATGGCTTTAGCCACGGAAGCCTCCGCCTCCGGCAGAAGAAGATGCGGAGGCAGACGCCGAAGAGGCACCACCACCACGACCACCACCTGAGGCAGAAGAGCTGGCCGAGGCCGACGAAGATGCTGAACCGCCGCCACCGCCGCGATTAAATCCAGGGCCACCAAATCCAGGTCTACCGCCAAATCCAGGGCCGCCACCAAATCCAGGGCCACCAAATCCAGGGCCACCAAATCCAGGGCCACCAAATCCAGGGCCACCAAATCCAGGTCTACCGCCAAATCCAGGTCTACCGCCAAATCCGCCACCAAATCCAAATTGAGGCAGCGCCGCCGCGGCAGCAATGAACAGAGACAGCACGATGAAGATCTTCATATTGCTCGGAATGCGAGATTGATATATTGTTTACTCTTAGAAGGTGACACTCCAACTAATAGAGCAAGCCCAAGCCACCCAAATTTATACGCTGCGTGAGTGAGTTGGAAGCGATCGAACCACTCGAACTCAGACTCGATCGGTAGGTTTTGAGTGGCAATCGAATTTCGAGTGGAGATGGCGCATCTCGCCCCATTCAACTTTTATTTTGTATTTTATTTGACTTTATTTTGAGCAGCGCTTTCAACAGTTTTAACGTCAAAGAAGAACTTTATGATCATGATCAGTTCAGTTGATGATTTCATTAGTCAATAAGATATCAACTTTAATAGACAGAGCTCAGGCTAAATATATCTAAATAGAGGAGATATGTCTTACCGTTGCAGAAATCATTTGCATATGTATTCGATCATTAGCTGATCTGATTAATCACAAATATTGTTCCTTCCCGAAGACTTGAAATCTTACATATATATTTGTAAGTCCCCTTATCGTGTGAAATTTTTATTTGTTACTTATATCAATTTATTTACGGCCTACCTTAATTTTTAAGACTTCAAATTAATACAGAATCCTCAATCGATTTTGGACTGTGTGTGAGCATTATGCAATCGAAAAATATAATATTATTAATTAATTTGAGCAATGAATTGTGTAGAAGAGGAAAAGGGAATATTCCAAGAGGGATTTAAAACAGATCTTTTTGCAATTAAATGAAGAAATAATAATACGACAAGTTAATCACAAATCAGTGATTAGAATGAATGAAATATAATATAAAATAATGAAATATAATAATGAAATGAAATTGGCATCAAACTTCATTTACATTAACTCTACTTACTCAAGAAGAGATAGCAGTCATTACTTTTTTTGTTTAAGAGGCTTTAAAGTCTCTGATTGAAATAAAGCCCAAAATATTTTAGTTAATCTCATCAAAACTGAAAAAACAGTTTTTTCTGTTAACAAATTATAATTTGATTAACCCATGGCTGCCAATGGCTCTATTCATTTTTCTCTTGACTCGCATTATGTTTTTGGTACGGCCTTTCTGGAAACATTGAAAAGTCGAGAGTATGGTTTTCAGTTTGTTGTTTTTTATATTTTTAAGAGTATTTTTAACATAACTTATAACTAATTTAGCAAACATTTAGTTAACTCAAGGGCTTCAAACAAAGAAGCCACCGCCTCCGGCCGAAGAAGATGCGGAGGCAGACGCCGAAGAGGCACCACCACCTAGACCACCACCTGAGGAAGAAGAGCTGGCGGATGCTGACGAAGAGGCTGAGCCGCCACCACCGCCGCCACGACCGAATCCGGGGCCACCGCCAAATCCAGGGCCACCGCCAAATCCAGGGCCACCGCCAAATCCACCATATCCAGGACTACCAAATCCAGGGCGGCCTCCAAATCCACCATAGCCGGGACCGAATCCGCCACCAAATCCAGGGCGGCCACCATATCCACCGCCAAATCCACCATATCCACCGCCAAATCCACCATATCCACCGCCAAATCCTGGGCCACCAAATCCAGGACGACCAAATCCGAATTGTGGCAGCGCCGACGCGGCAGCTATCAGCAGGGCAAGTACAATAAGGGTCTTCATATCGTTCGTGTTTTCTTTGCAGGTGACGGTGCGACTGATGGACCACAGCCGAGCCACCCAAATATATATGCTGTAAGTGAGAGCTCGAGACGACCGAAGCACTAGCACTCCGTCTGGATCGTGCGTGATAAATGAGTTGACGAACGGAGTTCGGACATCTCATGCCATTTACCGGTTTTCTTTGCTATTATTTTTCATTATCGGCTTTGGGCTTCATAATGAGCAGACAGCGACATCATCATCATGTTCAACATCAAACAAATTCATGATCTGTTTCGTTCGGCTAGCCGGCTTGGAGGTCTGTCACTTGACCGGGTGAATCCCAGAACAACAACACGTAAGCAACCAAATTATAATACATAATTATGTACAATGGAATTGTTTACGCATGGACTTGATAAATACACTTATCTAAGGTTTGTTTACAAGTCGCTTATTAATAATGTTTAGGGGTCAACAATTTGCTTTGGTCTTCCTGGTTTGAGGAATTCCCCACGCACCTACTATCATATTTCTTTCTCGCACTCCGGCTCTATCTGTCTATCTCTCTCTATGTATAGCAAATTCTACTTAAAAGACCTGTTCATCTTGAAGAGTTTATTCGCCTTTATTTCCAAAGCGGTTTCTATGGCGTCGTTACAAAGCAAATAACAAATAGAAAACAAACAAAATTTCGAGAAAAATCATCTCGCGCTCCATTCATTTCATATGCGCTAAAAAAAAAAAAAAAAAAAAAAAAAAAAAAAAAAAAACATGTTTGATCAATACCCTTTCTGATGGGTGTGTTTATATTCTAATCCCTGAGCGTACCTGAACCTATTTGAGCAGAATATTATTATTAATAAGTATAAATTCCAACAGGACCATGCTATACTTTTTATATTTTTGATTTTTTATTTATTTATTTTTTAAGA